CGAGGCTGCCGCACAGAGTGGTGACTCGTGCAATTCGATGGGAAGTGGCGTACCCGCTTGGGAGCAGAGCCTGAGCATCAAATCACACCGTGGAGCATCGTTTGATTGATGAGCTTTGTGGACATTGTCCTTGACTGATCCACATAACACCAAGCCGCTTCACGAGCAGTGGAGACGAATTGTCAAAGATGATCGGCGCCACTTTGTTCGTTTAACCATCTTGCTTCCGTGGGCCCCCAATCGTGATGACCAACTAACCGGGTAATCCAAAGAGACAACACGACGCCAAGCTTAGCGATCTATCGGTATTGCGTGTGTGCTCCTGTCGCTTTGGGGATTCAGAGAAATGCTGTTGTAGACTACAGAATGATGTGGAGGCTGGAGTGTGCGGAATGGGTAAGGCGATATAGAAAACGCTTCAGGAAAGCTGGAAATTGGTTGTGTTACATAATGATCGATGAATGCCCGCTCTCTTGCGGCCCTGAGGAGATGGGTATGGCGAGAGATGCGCGATGATAGACGGCTAGCTAGTCGAGGTGCGAGGCATGACGGATCGCTCGTTGCTTTCGCGTTGCAACTCTTGCACATCGGAGCTGGCAAGGTCGCTTGATCTCGTTGGAGGAAGGGTAGGCTGGAACGGCGGCTCGCCAACAGCCGGTTCGCCGGTGCTAGCTTTGCTGGGACTGCCGAACAGGGTTGACTCGCTTGGTCTTCGCGAGTCAAGACGGAGTGAGGCGACAGCACCATTGGGACTCGCGTCTTGTGCCAGAGCCGGGCTCGTCTTTGGCGGGGAGGAAGTCTTGCAAGCTGATCCACGCCTGGACGGCGATGCTCCGAACAAGGTGTGATCAGAGTCGCCAGTCCTGGGTCGACGGCCTGTGGCATTTCCCTCCCAACGCCCAGCGTCAACAGCCGCGTGCGCGACAGCCGGTCCAGAATACTGCGAGAGGACCTTTCTCAGCTCCGCCCCTTCATCCTCGCGTTGTCTGGTGGCAACCCTGCTGACGGCCTCATGCCCTTCGAAATTGCGCGAACGCATCCTTGCAAGCGCTCGTTCGAAGGGGTTGCCTCCAAAGCTCGACTGTACCATTTCGGACGGCGTGTCAATATTGGGCGTGATGAGCACAGGTTTGGGTGGTCTCCTCGTGGACGCAAAGCCGCCTTCCACGTCCGCCATGGACTGCGCGCGGGCAGCCCAAGAGTTTCTGCTGACAGGAGTGCCGTTGACGAATCTATCGTCCCGCCAGTGAGCGGATGCATTGGTGCAAGCTAGAGTGGCTCCAAATACCTGCACGAAAACGTTGCTGACCAAGAGGAATCCATTGTTGGTCGGCGAGACTCGGTAGCTCGGCATCGCAATGCAGGTCAGAACTGCGATGTTGTAGATAGTCGGGAACGCAAAGGTGAATCCAACACCGGCGAAGAATTGTTGAATCGCATCCACGACGCGGCTACGACGACGATCCAGCAGGGCGTTGCGATGGTGCTGCGTTTCGTTGCCAAGCTGATGGAACTTACGCAAGAGCACAGCAAAGCAGTACAAGGAGTCTACCACTGTTAAGGCGAACTCCACGGTGGGCCATCTATTGTCCCACGTCTGCGAGAGACCATTGTCGAAAGCGGCAGCGCCTCCTCTAGCTGCCACGCTCTGGTATCCCTCGCGGAGGTACAGTCCGATGCTGCGTGGATGAGTCAGGATTCAGTCAGTATGAGCTTAGTAGCAATAGGGACTGAGTCGATGCCAACTCACAAAGGTACCCGTGCAAACTTGAGGATCATGGGCGGAGCGATAACGAGCAAGCGCTTGCGTGCTCCAGCGAGCATCGGCGGGTAGAAGGATACGATGCGAAGCACGACTGCTACGTGAGCTACCAAGGGGGTGATGAAGAGCATCGCTGTGGTCAAGCACCCTATAAGCGGTGAAGACAAGGGCGGAATGGTCAGTGCGGATGGACAGAGCAGAGAGAACAAGGAGCAGCAAGAAGACGCACAGTATGAAGCTGCATTGATGGCTGTGCCATCCTCATCACGATCGCGCAGTAGCAAGGTCGCCCAGAATACCTAGCGGGAAGAGGAGGTAATCCTTTCTCAAATCAGCACCCTAGCAGACAGGGCCAAAATCCTTTTTCCTTGTGCTACCAGCCAAACTTACGGTATTCAGTATGCTGCCAAATAGCCCCAGCACCATGCTCAAGCTGAGCACTACAAGGATTGGAAGCTTGCGTTTGCGCTCCTCGGAGAAAGAGTATCTGAATAGCATCGTCGATAGCAAGATGAAGAGGAGTGCTGTGCAGTTGCTGTAGACGATGATGAAGAGCGTGCCCGTGCGCACCAGGCCCCTGGGCACGTACGAGTCTATATCGTGCAAGGAGGGCGGTTGGACTTCGGTCGTCGCCATCTTCGTCAGCAGCCTCCGCCTCGGCTGTTAGCGATTCGAGGGTGGACAACTGCTGAAGGGTTGA